ATACTTTCACCAATATGTACCCTAGAACAAGGGACATAAAGGAAAGAATAAACAAGTGGGACCTCATCAAAATAAGAAGCTTCTGCATGGCTAGAGAAAACATCAGCAAAATGAAAAGGGAACCAACTGTATGGGAAAATATATTTGTCAATGATACCTCAGACCAGGGTTTGATCTCCAAAGTACATAAAGAACTCACACAACTCCACTTCAAGAAGACAAACAATCCAATTAAAAAATGGGCATAGGACCTGAAAAGACACTTCTCCAAGGAAGCGATACACAGGGTCCAGGGACATATGAAAGGATGCTCAACATCACTGGCCATCAGAGAGATGTAAATTAAAACCACAATGAGATACCACTTCACACCAGTCAGAATGGTCATCATAAACAAATTAACAAACAAATGCTGGTGAAGTTGTGGAGAAAAGGGAACCCTAGTACATTGTTGGTGGGGATGCAGACTGGTGCAGCCACTGTGGAAAAGTTTGGAATTTCCTAAAAAAAGCTAAGAATGGAACTGCTTTTTGACCCAGCAATTCCACTGCTGGGATTATACCCTAAGAATCCCGAAATGCCCATTCAAAAGACCCCATGCACCCCAATTTTGATAGCAGCACAATTTACAACAGTCAAGTATTGGAAGCAACCTAAGCACCCAACAGTAAATGAGATTAAAAAAAACAACTATGGTACATTTACATGATGGAATACTATGCAGCAGAAATAAAGAAAGAGCTACTACCCTTTGCAACAGCATGGATGGAACTGGAGAAACTAGTTCCATCCATGGTGTTAGTGAACCGCGGAATTAGGTTCACTATGCTAAGTGAAATAAGCCAGGCAGTGAAAGACAAATATCATATGATCTCACCTGTAAGTGGAACCTAATCAACAAAACAAGCAAGCAAGCAAAATATAACCAGCAACACTGAAACAAAAAAACTGACAGTAACCAGAGGAGAGAAGGCGGGGCGGGGTGGGGCGGGTAATGGAGGAAAAGGGGAAGGGTCAAATCAAGGAACATGTATAAGGGATCCATGGACAAAGCCAAAGTGGAGAAGGATTGAGGGCAGGAGGGGCAAGGGAAAGTGGTTGTAGGAAAATGGAGACAACTGTACTTGAACAACAGTAAAATAAATTAAAAAGGAAGAAAAAGCTGAAGGGACCAAGAAGTACAAATTAGTAATTACAAAATAGTCACGGGAATGTAAAGTACAGCATAGGGAATACAGTCAATGATATTGTGATAATTCTGTAAGGAGCCAGGTAGCTACTAGACTTACCTGGATGATCGCTTCTTAAGTTACATAAATGTGTAACCACTATGGTATCCACATGAAACTAATATAATATTGAATGTCAACTGTAATTTTAAAAACACACACACACACACACACACACAAACACACAAAGAAAAACAAGCTTAACTGAAAGCAGCATAATCCGGCTTTACCTGGACCCTGAACACCTTTGGAATATTTCTGAAAGTTATTCCAGTCTCAAAGGGTATACATTAACATAATGTTCTGGTCCGGATATGTGCGATAAACTCTGAAGAGATTTAAGAACTCTATGAGGTCCTTTCTTCTTGATCGAGTATCTGTAAGGAACACACACCTTAGCAATTGTGCTGTTCTTATATTATGAAGGTCCTCATCCTTCTTTGAGGTAAGGATCTATAAGAGTCGTGAAAAAAAATACTGCAAAGGCAGGACGAAACTGTAGGGAACGGACAATACTGAGATGAAAGGAAGGGTAAAATAAAAGATTAAAAGAACAAAATCTGAAAAATAGCTCCAAAACTTCTTCCCTTATAGTTCAACTTTCTAGACCGTACGTTCTCATTAGATCTCTAAGGTACCCTCATCATGGTCCAGCCACCCACTTTCCATCCCTGCTGAGATGAAGGAGTCTGCCACTGGTAAAACACTGATGTAACTCAGATGTTATATAGTAACACATCCCCACACCTCCACGCGCAGTCCATGCATAAAATTTCTCCTTAAATTCCCTCTTCAAACCTGTCACTAAAACAGTTTCATTGAAAGCTTACTTGATATATCCTCAAAGTGAACACGGTTAAAAGAAATCTAGTTATCCTATTTATTACACCTATTGTTATAAATCTTGGTATCACGCTGCTTCTGCATTTTAAAGTCATAACTGACCCACGTAAATTTAGTCTTGCTGGAGTAAACCCAAGGAGAAAAAGGCTGTTTTGTATTGATCACAGAGCATTCAACTAAGTCTGTAAGTAAACAAGGGTAATTTCTGATGTAGGAAAATTCCAAACATCTGAGATTTATTTCATCATCAGTTAAATGAAGAAATATCAAAAAGCTCTTTATATACATAAAAAGAAATTAAGTCTCTCACCTCAAAATGGCACCCTGGGCAGCGTTCTTATTTTTAGCCCGTACCAAGAATACCTTTATATATCTCTATATTATGTACTTTTATAAGTGATACTTTTTATGAGAAAAAATCAAGTATTTCCAGTATTTTCAAAAGGTACATAGAAGATCCCAAGGAAGTCTCTAAGCGAGACCACCAAATTCTATGTGCAACTATCAAAACTGTTTGGGTCAACACTTGAATATTCGCTTTAAACTTTCTGTTAAAGTAGAAAAAGCACAAAGCACAATTTATGTATCAGGATACTCATAGCAATAAATCTGGTTTGATGTGAATATAGCTATTTTCATGTCTCCCTGGGAGGACAGCCAAAACTGCTTAAATTAACCCCAAGATGGTAACGGAAGTATAACCTGGGGGTGCCAATTCAGTTTGTGCTAAGCACTAATTATCTGCAACTGAATGCTGTTTCTTTCCTTCCAGTTCAGAAGTATACCTTTAATAATTTTCTTCATTAGCTAGGAAGATCCATATGCCTTAGTCTATTAACAGGCTTGCTATAATCCAAATGTCTGTTTCAGGGTAAAAATTATACATGGGAGATCATGATTTATAAAACCATGGTTATCACTAATAATCAGAAAATAGAGATTTCCCTGTTACTTAGGAGAAACACTATGGTAACACCAGCATATGAATTTTACTGCTTCTGTAATTACTTTTATTGTTTTCTTTGCAGCAGATGTAGATGGTTGGAATCAATTTTAGATTCTAATCCCGTCTCTTAAGTGGGGTCTTTCATACTCAAGGAACCAAATTCTCCTATTAATTACTAAACCATGGTCTCCACTTATAATATTTACCCCATTACCATCCCTGCCCTTCAGTGAGCTGAGGTGCGCTGTCCATGTCACAGTCATTTCAAACCACAGAGGTGTCCATCCCGTCCAAGCTTCTGGAAAAATACCTGATTTAAACCTGAAAATCCTGCTCAGCAATTCCAAAACCAATGTAAAGTACTATGAAATATAAAATATTAAGATGAACAAAAATATCACATATTTAATAATTGCAAATATATTTATTACAATTTACAGATTAGTTGTTATATACAAATAGTTTTATTGTAAAATCCCAACAAACTTGTTACATTTTACTCACTGGATCTGTAGAAGCCAATTTAGAAGTCTTCCAGTCCCCTAAATGCACCTCCCTTAAATTATAAAAAAATAAAATCTGAGTTTTGATTTCAAGTTAAAGATGAAGAGGTGCTATTATTAGATTTCAACACTCAAAAAGAGAAATTTTACCTGTCTGTACAAAGCCTTTCATACGCTTTGACACTTAAAGCACCATTGCAAGACTCTGAATGTTTAAATGTGTATACAATGTTTGGTTAAAATTTCCAAGGGTTTCCTTTTTAAGAGGGTGGAGGTTAAACTTGGTTCTAACAACTAGGATTGGGATGAAACTAGCAAAAATTGTTCTTCTCCTTCAATCCATCCTAAAAATGGTCCCTTCTGTCTCTCTCATCACCCTCTGACCACTTCTTGCAAAGGAGGGCAGTGCTGGGAGAACTGCTAACCAAGCTACTGCTCAGCGGCCATGAGGGTGAGGTTGGGGTTGGAACCCCAAGGAAAGTTTCCCACAATCCGGTTAATGTCAAGATATCCTTAAATAGGCAGAGGTGCTAGATTTCAGAAACACAAAATACAACCTGAATTTCTGACATAAAATAGTATACCTCATTCTGGTTTTAAAAGAACGCCTATGGATTTTCAAAGAGCTTTTTTCAAGGCAAATAACGCCTTCTTCCCACCTGACACAGCTGGTGCCTGGAACCAGCCTGCTTCATAGTGTTATGCATTCTCTCTGATTACCTAAAGTGGAGGAGCACAAAACATCTTGACTAAGGGCTCTGAAGAAAACGTGACTAACTTTTATGTTGTCGCACTCTCATTGTGTTTACGTATGTGTGTGTATATACATTTAGACACTAAAGACAGTTCTTAGAGCAAACCAGAGAGAAATAATGACCAGGTAGATTATTAACTGAGGTAGTAACTCTGCAAGCACTTCTGATGAAAACTCGCCCCCACACTGAAACAAGTTAAAAATTAAGAAGTCAACTATTCCACTCACGTTTTCCATTACCTGTGACAGGAGGCATGTAGACTAAAAGTAGATCACTAAAGGAGTTGGATAACTCCCTCAACCTAACAGATGCACACCATGTAGAGCTACCTAAATAAGCCAGGCACAATCAGTCACTGCAAAAACTTGGATTTGAAAGCAAACTTTGGGCTAGATATTAAAGACTTTAATAGTTGTTAAATCTATAGTTCTATCCTTTCCTGAAAGTATAGGCCTTGCTTCTCTCATTATTCCTTCTCTCTTTATTGAAATAGAACACAATAAACTTGGATACTGACTGAAGTCTCTATTTTACATTTCAAAATGGAAAATTCAGAACTGACTTTTTCCAAGTTTACAGTATCACCTAGACAGGTTTGAAAAGTGACAGTGCTGTGGCTGGAGTTTGTAACACTGGTTTTCTGCTGAGAACATATATGACGAAACCAAATTGCTCTGATATCCCCTATCTTCTTCCTAGGAAAATTCTAGGCTCTTAGTTTAAAAAAAAAAAAAAAGCCTATGATGTAGTTACTTCTTTCTGGTATCTTTTACAATTTCCATCTGTTAAAAGATACAAAAAAACAGTTACCTGGAAACTACAAACATATACAGAATCCTCTCCAAAAAAGTCTGTACAGAAATTAAATACATTAGATGTTAAAATCTGGCAAAAAGATACAGCTTTGCCAAAGTAACAGAGTACCACACACATTGGTTTTGTGGCAATCCTTGGAAATATCGTAGGTAGAACTTAACCTAAAAATAAAAACCCACCACATTATTTTTCAGCCCAAGTTATTCTTAGAAGAAAAGTAAAAGTGATACAACATGATATACCTTAAGTTGGCAGCATATATAAGATTATTGTCTGAGCTTTAAGGTAGAAGGGCCAAATCACTGAAATAAAAACATACAGAGAAAACATAAGCGCCCATTAATTTCAGAATGCTGGGGGGGGGGGGGAAGCCCAAAGTTTTTAAACAGGTACCCATAATTTAAATTAAAATGGAAGTTGGACTTTGAATCCTACATCGTTTCCCAAGAAAATAAGTTTTGAAAGTGCAAAATTACACCTTAAAAGTTTCCCTCTTCACCTCAATAAGCAAACAACATCAGAAAACACATTTGACTAAATAAGAGGGGAGGATTAGAAACCACACTATCTCATCCTTCATTATCAGGGCTTGGTTTCAACCCTGGACATTTCTGAGTGGGATATGTTACAAAACAATATTAAACAAGGTTGCTGGATCCAAGTCACACACCCTCTTTAAAAATTAATGTCAAAGGACAGCTGCCAATTTTTGTTTTAAAAGAAACCTCTCAAGTAGTTAGTGTATGCTGGGGTCAGAGGCTATCAAATGATCTGAACATGGCTGCAAAACATCAAGTCCTTTGAAGTATGTCTTCTGGAGTTTACGAAACATTCTTTCTCTGTGCTCAAATGTCAAGCAATATCCAATAGCGTCTTCTGTTTCTTGAATTCGTTTCTGGAACCTGCATCCGTCCCGAGCAAATTCCTCCCATGGTCCTTTTCGATCCTCGTCACCACTTATATAATACTCAGTAACTTCTTCAAGGAATGTTACCTAGGAAGACAAAGACTAATCACTCTCTAAGATCTTAAAATCATCACTGAGGTAATTAACCCTTTTTGCTACTAATTCTTTAGAATATCAAATATCTCACAGGGATTATTTGGTCCCAACCATAAAAAAAGAAGTTAAAAAAAGAACGAGCTCTGACTGACTAGATGGCGTCTGAATTAAAAACAGTGGGCATCTTGTCATCTATCCTCCCCACTTTTGGTTTTTGATGTTAATAAAATGAATACAGACGGAGAACTGTGATTTTCCTAATGTTATTAATCCTTATTTTTTAAAAATCCTTAGTGAAATACAATTCTGTAATACTCTTCTTCCAACATAACAAATATTTCCAAACAAAGATTTCAGAACTATATACCTAGAAGGCAATGCTTTTATTAGGAGAGAAACAGTGATCAGTTAGTTGCCTCTTGCACGCCCCCAACCAGGGACCTGGCCTGCAACCTAGGTATGTGCCCTTAACCAGGAAATCAAACGAGGAACTTTTCCATCTTTCCAGTTTGTAGGACAATGCACAACCCACTGAGCCACACCAGTCAGGGCAATATCTTTCTTATATTATTACTTTTGTAATGAGAATACAGAAGAGGAATTTACTTTATAAACAAAGTGCAGTAAAATTAACATTTTTAAGACTATGTTACTATAAGAGACTTTGTAGTTAAGATAAAAATCCTCGTATTCCTCAATATGCTATCATCATATATGTATTCATGACAGTGAATATTATCATATACATAATCACATGTAATGAGTGACAGTCCCTGTTACTTACTACTTAATTTCTAATACAGAAGTTTCTTTGTAAAATAGCAAACTCCAAGAGCAAATAGGTACTTTGCTTTTAAAGAATGTAGAATAGTTACATCAGCTAATCCCACTGTGGCCTACCACTTTCATTCCCTTTACATCAGGCCAATAAATGCCCCTGAGGACAATTAGTAGGTATGTAAACCTTTACTAGGTATTGCGTTCTAGTGTCACTCATTTACTGTCACTAAAATAAATAACATTTACATAGTGTTTACCATATCCCAGGCTTTTTTCAAAGCACTCTACAATTTTTATCCCATTTAATCCTCATATCAACCCTATGGGGTACTACCATCATCTCCATTGTACAGATAAGGAAAGTGACATAGAGAAGTTAAATGACCTGTTCACATCACAGTTTTTATATGGTATGATCAGGATTCAAACCCTGAATCTGGCTCCACAATCTATACTATGTTATGCATTTTAAACCCAGATTTGAGAGCTTCATTCTAAGAATTAGACAGTACTGACTATTCCTATGTACCTAAACAATGGCCAAAGGCTGTCAAATAATTTAACCATGTTTTAGACACAATCTTTTATAAATGTTGCTTCTAGTTCAGTCAATAGTCTCAAACCTACTCGACTCATCCCATTTTTACTCAATGAATAGGCTAAAATGAGACATGCAACTGACCTGATGTCCGTGAACAATAAGAGCTACCATTTAAAGGTAAGGCAATGGATTATTAAGTTTTATTTACTCATCTCATTTGAATTATGCAGTAACTCATATGATATTATTCCCTCAGATGCATGAGTGATTCAAGGCCATGAGAGGCCAAGTCGTGTCCCAGGTGTGGCTGTATGACCAAATCTCTTGGCCCTAAACCACTCAGAGGAGGGAACACAGGACTCCAAGGGTCAAGTGTTCATTCCATTTCCAGACAATTTCTTAGCTACCCATTATGTAAGCTCTTGTGTCCATGGCCACTTTAAAATTTAAAAAAAAAAAAGGCATTTACTGAAGTGTAAACTAAAACTTAATCTTTAACATGACTTATTTTGCATCTACAGGTCAGATATAAGATTACCACATTTAAAGCTATTTTCTACCCCAGCAATAGTTTAGTTTTAAAGCATTAAATCAGGCATTTGGAACCAATGGCTAAGAGTTCTGTCCACTGGAAACTCCCTGATATTGCAGAACCTGAGGTCAATAATAATTCATTCACTCCTTTCTCTGTCCAGATAAAGGTACAGGGAACTAAAGAAACGTTTTCTCTATCATTAGAGATATCCCATGTGTTTAGGGAGAATTTCTTTCCAATTAATAACTTTAGCTGAATAAACAATAGAGAAATCAAAAAGCAACTCAAAAGACTGCCAAAATAAAGTTAACCTAACAATGTGTTGAATGGTAAAATACTCATAAAGTTTTCAGACTAGCCTGGCAATAGGAAGCAACTACCTAAATCAGTTAAGTTGACCATCATTGTTTTATATGATTATTAACCTGTAGTTGGCTAATGATAACTAGTACTGCATTCTTAAAGAAGAGGCAATATACTATTTCCTGTATTGTTTCTGACCAGCAATCAAAACCATGTACCTGTCACACAGTTTCTAATACTCAAATTGTTTCTTATCATGGCAAAAAACAAATAAATCTGACTTGCTTCTTGATGCCATTATCCCTCTGGGTTCGAGTGGTCAAGAGTGAGGACACTTATTATGACACCACATTTAACATTTTAAAACTCCATGGCTGTACTAGAACCTTCCCAATCTCCAGAAAAATTAAATCATGTATACACACAATTTAATCTTTCTGTTCCTTAAGAGTGAAAAGTTGAAGCTTGTAGGCATATAGCTCAGAGTTGCCATCTCAAACAAAAATGGCACTTTCCTGCTAACATGTATACATTGACATTCTATTTGGACAAGGACAACACTCTACTTGGGGAAAAAGAGGGTCACTTCCCAATCCAAGGATCTGGACTTAAGAAGCTTAGAGGTCTTCTTCCAACACATGTACTGTTATGCCTCCAGAAGTCATGCCACTATATTTAACCATTATCAATACAGTCTGTACAAATTATCAAGCAAATTAAAAGAAACAAAAAAAATATACAAAAAGAAACAAACCTTTTTCCTCTTGATATGCATGTGTCTTTCTCCAGATAAAACCCCACCCTGTACCACGTCAGGAAATTCACTGTCTCGGCTCCCTAACAGCTGCACCTTACAGGAAAGTAAGGTGTGACACTCAGACATGGCCACAGTGGGCTCAGGTGGTCTCTCTGAGTCATGACAGCCTTTCCAATTTTTCCCTGATGTTTGAAAAGGAGCCTTAAAATTTAAAAGGTTGTAGGGGTCATCTGAATTACAGAACGAGTTCCACAGTTTGAGACTCTCTGCTTCATCTGCACTAGATTCCCAGTCATCTTCCTCCCGAAAATTATGATCAGGAGACTCAGGAAGTCTTCCAGTCTGGAAAGAATTCTCTAGATGAGACCTGTCAGACAAATCCTTCTCTGAGTCAGAAGGGTCTCCAGGAACAATTCTGGCAGCAGTCTGAATCGCTGCTGTAAAGTTTTGGGGATTATAAGGATCTACACTGTAGAAAGAGTTCCAAAGGTGAAGTCCTTCAGAGTCTTGTTCCAGGTCTGATTCTGAGAGTGAGCTATCACTATCAAAACCATCATCCTCAGCTTCCTCATCCCAATCCTCACCTCCAGAACCAGAACTTGTTTCGAGGTCACTAGATGCACCTCCTAAAATGTAATCTATCAGTTTGTTACTACACGCTGGTCTGGCAGAAATGGGAAGATCATTTTCTAGGTCTGAGCAGTCAACTACACTTATTTGGTCCTCCCCAGGCTCTCTTTCCACAGGTACCTCACAAGATGGACAGCTTCCTGAAGGGCCCTGTATTTCCAAAGCAAGGGAGGCCTCTTTAGTCAATTCTGTTTTTTCTTCTGTGGCTTCCTGGGTAGTTCCGGGAATGGCTTCAGCAGGAGGAACAGACTGTGTCGGATTACCTCTGCAGGGCTTCGGATCCATGCGGAGAAGGCTGTGTTCCTCCTCCAGGCTGTGGTAACCATGATCTTGGTCGGGGGTGGGTAACGCTTGACCCTTGGTGGTCTGGTGAAGGAATTCCAGCCGTTTCGTGCGAATATGGTGAATTTCTGGCACGCCTTCTCTAGAATGAGGTGGACATCCCTGCCAGGAGGAGCTAGTGATCTCTGCATTCAATGGCTGGGGTTGAGAATGGTCCTCAGGCAGACAGCTGCTTTCTGGGTTTATTGTCTGGAAATCAACTAGCTCACCACCTCCGGTGCACTTCTGATAGCTAAGCTCTGCCCGAGGAAGGCAGTCCAGATAAGACGGGTTCAGCAAATAGGAGACAGCGCTGAAACTGCTTAAGTGCTGAATGTTTCGAGGCCAGGAGGAGGAAAGGCTAAGTTCGCGGTCAAAGAACAGCCTGGAGTAAAGGCTACTCGACAGCATATCGACTCCACACAGCTGCTGCTCAAAGAGTAAAGTGTGGACCGCAGAATCCAAGGCTCTTCCCTTTGCTTTCAGTTCCAATTCTAGATCGGAGGACGCGCACTGCCAGGGAATACCCTCCTCTACCCAGTCCAGAAGACTGGTAGCTGAGTCGGCCGAGGGGTCCAGCCGCAGCAAACTCCGAGGTTTCTGCAAACTCCGAGGTTTCTGCGTAGCGGGGGCGGCTGGTTCCTCCCGGGCCCTCAGGGCTCTCAGGGCGCTGTAGCCTCCAGCGAAATCTAGCCATCTGGTCGGAATCATGCCACCCAAAAGCTGGCTCCAAATCAGCAGTTTCTGAAGAAGGCCGGGGAGCGGCGCGACGAGCTGGGAAAGCAGCTTCATCCAGTAGCTGGTCCGAGCCTCAGGCCGGGTAGAGCAAACTGGTTTGTGGTCCCTGGGGTGCTCTGCGGCAGGAGATGTGGGGAGCCTGCCAGTACCAGGTGGCGGGGACCGAAAGAAGAAGGGCAGCCGGAACAGAGGGCCCGCCCGGGTCGCCGGCCGTCCCCGCGGCAGGTCCGCTCCCGACTCCATTGCCCCTGCTCTTGGCAACGTATGGCGAGGTGCGCAGACTAGGAGGCTGGACCTCGCAGGGTATCCAGAGAGGCCTACACAGCCCCGGCCTCACCTAGTGGAGGAATCGGCGCCCCAAGGAGGGCCCCAGGCCAGCAGAAGAGCCACAGAAGGCAACGGTTTCGGCCTTGGTCAGCAAACCACACTCCGGAAAGGCAGGCACAGAATGTGGCGGCAGCGTCGACACCCATCCCGGCGGGAAGGAAGCGTCCTAATCTGCCTGAGGCCTCTCCACCATACAGAAGAGGCCTCTCGGGGCAACACCGTGACTTTCCACCAGTAACAGACCGTTAAAAAGCCCCGTTAAAAAACAGACTGCGCGCCCCCGGAAGGGCTGGGTGGTCAGGCAGGCGACAGGCGTGGGGACGAACTCAGTTCAAAATGGCCACAGGGCCAGCGCTGAGGCCGGCCACCCGAAGGCAACCGGATGGGGAATTAGGACGACGGCCACTACGCCACCAGCTCCGCGCCACTGAACATCGCTCTCAAAGCCCGGCGGGCGGGCCCTTCGGAGCTCTTCCGGGCGGCGGCTGATTGGCCTTGACAGGGTCCATGTCGGCTTCCTTACCCTCCGTAGACCTGGCTTGCGCACGGGAGGTTGCATCAGCCAGGCCCGGGCTCTGCGCATGCGCACTTGCCTCTCTGTGGACTTCCAGGAGAAGCCACGCCCCGTTCTCTGGGCGGAAGTGAGGTTTTGCAGATAACCCGAGTTCCCTGGAGCCTTTTAAGGGCATAATGCACGCCAAAGGGTACACACTGAGCTTAGGCTAACGTATATCGGGGGTTCATTGCTAAATAGATCATCCCCCGAGATCTGAGTTTAATGAGTTGGACAGTGCTGTGTACTGTGTAAGTATACCTCTAACAGTGTTAAGACACGAATAATCTGGAGTGATTAATAATATAAGTGAAGAAGTGCAAGTGAGAAATCACTCAGGCATGCATTCCTGCCCCGTCGATTTTGAAATTTCTAAATCACTCCTTATCTTTGCCTGAAATGTAGCTTTGAGGTTTTTCAGCGTCCAGTCCACATATACCGCCTCCCTCATCCCCAAGAGAATGTAAATTCTCAGGTGGGTCCCTATTAGACTCTCTCTTTTCAATGTGGCAAACTGAAATCACAGAGGAAGGAACATAGTCAAAAGAACTCTTCAATCTCTTTAATGCTTCCCAGCAGGCAACGCGTTCAAATCTTATTTATATCCTAAGGCCCCAGAACTACAGGACACAACATCCAAAGAAACCACAGACCATTATCCTTTGAAAAATATTTGTCTGATAATTTTAGCTGCTATATTTGGTCCTCTGGTGTTTGGTCTCAGTTCATTCCCTCATTTCTGCTAAAACGTTTTAATCAACACCCTTAAGGTCAAGTATCTATTACAAAGGGAGGGTAGCAGTTACAAGCACTAGGGACGGCAGGAAGAGCTTTTAGAAGCCAGGAGAAGCCCTGCTCCTCCTGCTTCATTGGGACTGCTCAACAGCCACTTCTTTCTAGAAAACTAAGGGGTCCTTGATTTCTATGGTTTTACCCTTTATTATATTATTCATATCTCTGGAAATACCTCATTTTCAATCCTAAGAACTTTAGAAAGATGGATTAGTAATAGGAGTCAGTTTAATAATAGAAAAGAAAGAAATCCAAATATGTACATTAACGACTCAGAAACTTCAGTGTCTTTGTGAAGTGAGGCTAATTCCTCTTTCAATGGGTTGGTGAGAGAACTAAATTCTTGATACAGAGCCTAGCCTAGATAGAGTAGGGGAACAAACTATCCTCTAACAATTGTTTCCCATTGCCTGCATAATAAAGACTCTATACAGACTCCTCCTCCTATACTTTTCCAGCCTTTTCTCAAGTAACTTCCATTCATGCATGTTATGTTCTGGGAACAGTGAACCTGCTTTAATGCCTTTACTCATGTTGTTTCTCAGCCAAGAAGGCCCTCATCTCCCCTGTTATATACCTATTCATATTTCAAGGTTGAATTCAAATGTAAACTCCTTTAAGTCTTTGCTAACCTTCCTAGTCAGAATTGTATTATATTCTTTTGAAGCACTTAACTCACTATACTATATACTGCATGCCTATACTCTCCTGCTGATCTCTGTTCTTTAGGGACTATGTCTCAACACCTAGCACAGTGGTTCTCAAAGGATTGTCTGAGCACCTCTGAGGATCTCATTTTAAGACATTTTCTAAGGATTCTCAAGGTCAAAAATAATTTTTTCATAAAAATGTCATTTATGTTAACATGTAATGGGTTTATTCTTTTTAAGTAAACATTTTTTCAGTTCCTCAGTTTTGAGTTCTAAAACAGTAACTATCAATAGATATAATCCACATAAACAAAAATTTCTTGGGGTCCTGAATAATTTCTAAGAATGTAAAGGGATCCTAAGACCAAAAAGTTTAAGAACCACTGACCTAGCATGTTGACTGGCACATAATTGGTGCCCAATAAATGTTGAATAGGAGAGTAATAATGCCTTAAAATAATAGCATCTTCCTTATGATAAAGCATCAAGCATTCCACTCTCAACTTTGTCACTAACACTGCATGATCCTGAAAAAATATTTCTTAAAACTTCTTTGAATGGACTTCCTCTTCCCCCAAATTATCTAATCATTGGATACATAATTTCTTTTTTTTAAAGGGGAAAAAAATCAACATGGCTAACACTGTTTGACCAACCTTGGAGATCCCCAGAGACTCCTCCCCACCCAAGTTACTGGCCCACCCAAGCTGCTTTTCCATCTGAATGGCTGGTTTTGGCTCATGCTGCACAACTTCCTAAATCCTCTCAAACAAGCAACAGCTGGCCTAGAATTACGGGTTGGCTTCACCTGGGAATCTCTAAGCCCAGCACAAGTAGCAGCCATCTCAGATTGCTTTATAACACAGGCAGGATGGCCCCTGAGCAAAACACAGGTGGGAGCTAACCTTGGCCTGCATCACCCGGGAAAGCCCAGGGCCAACGCACCCAGGTAGACAGGTACAGATCATGTCAGAGCACTACCACCCTGCCCCAGCACAGGTGATTCTCCACAGAAGGTGGAGGTTGGTGGTCAGTGGTCACACCAATCCTTGCCCCTGACTGGCCTGTAAATTCCTCACATTGATCTTCCAATAGCAATCAAGGCTCAACTACAAGAAGAGGGTGTACCTGGAGTATCCAGCTTGGTGATAGGAAAGGCTGTGCCACTGGCCTTATAGGACACCTACTACATTAGGCCACACTACAAAGACAAGGAGTCAAAGCAGTTATATCTAATACATACAAACAAACACAAGGAGGTTGCCAAAACGGGGAGACAAAGAAACATGGCCCAAATGAAAGAACAGATCAAAACTCTAGAAAAAGAGCTAAACAACATGGAGATAAGCAATCTATCAGATGCACAGTTCAAAACACTGGTTATAAGGATGTTCAAGGAGCTTAGTGAGGACCTCAACAGCATAAAACAGATCCAGTCAGAAACGAAGGGTACACTAACTGAAATAAAGAACAATTTACAGGGAAACAACAGGAGAGTGGATGAAGCTGAGAATCAAATTAATGATTTTGAACATAAGGATGCAAAAAGCAACCTATCAGAACAACAAGAAGAAAAAAGAATTTTAAAAAATGAGGTTCGTATAAGGAGCCTCTGGGACAACTTCAAGTGTTTCAACATCGCATCATAGGAGTGCCAGAAGGAGAAGAGAAAGAGTAAGACATTGAAAATCTATCTGAAAAAATAGTGAAAGAAAACTTCCCTAATTTGGTAAAGGAAATAGACATGCAAATCCAGGAAGTACAGACAATCCCAATTATGATGGATGCAAAGAGGCCCATTCCAAGACACATCATAATTAAAAGGTCAAAGGTTAAAGGTAAAGAAAGAATCTTAAAAGCAAAAAGAGGAAAGAAGTTAGTTACCAGATGGTTGCCAGATAGGAGTGGGGAGAGGGAGAATGGGTGAAGAGATGAGGCGGTTAAGAAGTACAAATAGGTAGTTACAGAATAAGCCATGGGGACATAAAGTATGGTATAGGAAATGGAGTAGCCAAAGAACTTACATGCATGACACATGGACATGAACAATGGTGGGGGAATTGACTGAGGGAGTAGGGGGCGCTGGGTGGAGTGGAGCAAAAGGGAAAAATTCAGGACAGCTGTAATAGCATAATCAATAAAATGTAATTTAAAAAATAAGGGGGATATTGCAATCAGAAACTATTGGAAATATATAAAAATATGTGACTGCCTTGTAAATAAAGTGTGAGCCAGCCTCCTCTAGCCTGCTATCAACTAGAGGGCAAAGGCAGGGCAACTCTGTGCACAAAGATAAGATGTTGTTGTGTCTCTCTACATGCTGGTGAAGTCAAGAAGTCTTTGGACTGGCAAGCTGACTGGCACTTTAGCAGATCATTTAAACTTCGGTAACTTATATTTATTTTAAAAGATTTTGCTGGGCCTGAGGTAGAGGGTATATAGCTTTAGACTTCATTTTTCAGAGTTAGTACCACCACCAAAATCTTATTTCCAGGCATTCCACACTCTAGACACCACCTCCTTTCTAACTCACTGCCCTGGTATCACTTATTAAGTGACTTATTAACCCCCAGAAACCTCAAAACCATTGCCACTACCACTGTTGAGTGATCCGTCCTCCTTCACTTCCCTCCTTACTGAGCGTAAATTCCATGATCCAGCATTAAAATTACCCCCTTGCAAAGATTCTTCACTTTCTTGCCCTTCTCCTACTCCAACATTATTCTTTGGCATGATTCCAACCTTAGTTACACACAAATATGCACTTATTCTGACCCTACACCCTTGCAGCTAATCAGTGCTGGAGAAAAGCACTCAACTATGCTCACACACTTCCTATTTGTGATCACAAATTTCAACAATGCCAGGCAAATATCCATATCTGTAGTAGCTTTGCTTCTCCTACATTAAGACTGTTTCACGTTTCTTTATTCATATTCCCAGCATGCTCATAAACATACATTCTCAACTTAAGATCACACCGCATACTTCATTGAGAACATATACAATTGGACGACTTGAATAACCTCATCTTTCCATCTCCAAATTCACCAGTTTACCCACATCTGGACCCACGCACTCTGCCTTCAATCCCATTATAAGCAAAGAAACTTCCTGGATCCTATCTCTTCATGTCTATTCATGGAATTCTGGTCTCGCTTCTTTCTTGTAACATAATTTTCTCTCTCAAGCTACTAACTAAAGCACTCGTATTAAATAGATTAACATCACCTATCTTAAAAATAAACTTTCTCAAGATACACGCCTCTCCAAATTTTTGTACCACTACAGCAAAACTTCTCAAGAATTATCCATGTTGGAGTTCTGGCCAAAATGGAGGCATAGACAGATATGCTTCATTTCCTTGCACAATCAAAAGAAGGACAGTAACCAATTTAAAATAAAAAAAAAATCCAGAATTGCCAGAAAAACAAACTGTATGGAAGCCCA